CCAGACGAGAAGGCATGCCCCCGGATCATCTCGCGCATCTGCCTCAATGCGAAAGGGCACAGGAAGGACGTGACAGACTGCTTGCCGTGGGCAGCTGCTCATGATTCTCTGTGGCTCTGAAAACGCAATTTGAATGACACCCCTGAGTACCAAATGACGACATAAGCAGCGCTATGAAGATAACACCCGCAACAACCCGAACATATTGCAAGAAGTTTTGCTCTGAGAAGAATTCGGGGCTCATCAAACACAAGCGCCTCCAAACCATGGTCTGCGTGACACAAAAGTAAAAAGGTTCTGATCGCGGCGGCCACTGGGTGATACCGTTCCTTTTCTGGGGCAGCCACTGCGCAGTGAAGGCCCTAGGCGCTTGCGGGTTCAACGTCACGGTGTGAACCTGACAACCTGACAGCCTGGCAGTCCTGCCCTTTCCTTTTGCGAGGAAAGTGGTTTCTCTCTCAACGAGCCCCTCAAGAGCTCAAGCGCTATCAAGTATTAGCTCGCTTGTTTCGCGCGCGGTCCGTGTCCCACGCCCCCGCCTCCGTGTCACTCCTGGCTGGCTACGGACGGCTGGCGCGGGCATTCAGAAACTGCCAAGTAGCACGGGAGGGTTCATGGAGCTCAAGGCCAGAGCTAGCACCAGTCTCCTTCTGGCCTTTCCGGCCTTCTTCTTCAAATCGAAAACTCATAGACTGCACCGTTTGCTGCGCGCAGGTATGGCAAAGTGTGGAGCCAGTGAATGTAGTGTGCCTCAAGGCAAACAGTTAGACACTGCGCAGACTAGCAGCTCCGAAACAGAATGCGGTAAAGGACTTGCCGTGGCTGTGCACAAAACGCAAGCACACAAACCCGAGAACAAACAAGCGAACAAGCAAACAAACACGCCGACACAAACAACACCAACAACAACAAAAAACAACAACAAACACACCCCAAACACCAAACACCGCCACCGCCGCCGCCAGCACCAGCACCAGCGCCAGCACCGCCAACAACAACAACAACAACAACAACAACAACAGCAGCAGCAGCAACAACAACAACAACAACAACAACCACAACCACAACCACAACAACCACAACAACAACAACAACAACCACAACAACAACAACAACAGCAACAACAGCAACAAAAGCAACAGCAACAGCAACAGCAACAACAACAGCCGCAGCAACAGCAACAGCAACAGCAACAGCAACAGCAACAGCAACAACAACAGCCGCAGCAACAGCAACAGCAACAGCAACAGCAACAGCAACAGCAGCACAAACAGCAACAGCAACATCAGCACAAACAGCAACAGCAACAGCAACAGCAACAGCAACAACAACAACAACAGCCCAAAACCAGCGCCAGCACCACCCCACCAACAACGCCACCACCACCGCTACCAACAACAACAACGACAACAAGAACGACGACGACAACAACAACAACGACAACAACAGCGACAACAACAGCGACATCACCAACAACCACCAACCAACAGCAACAACAACCAGAAACAACCAGCAACAACCAGCAACCAACAAACAGCCGCAAACAACCAACAACGAACGACCAACAACCAACAACCATCAAGAAACAACAGCCAACACCCAGCAACCAACAAGCAACAAACAACAAACAACCAACAACACACAACAAACAAACACAAACAACAAGCAACCACAGACACACAACCACTCCAACAACCAACAACCAACAACCAACAACATCCAAAACCCAACATCCAACATCCAACAACCAGCAGCACCAACACCAACACCAACACCGACACTAACACGAGCACCAGCACCAGCACCAGCACCAACACCAACAAACAACAGCCAACAGCCAACAAAAAACAAACAGCAAACAACAACCAACAACTGCTTTGCGGATCTCTGGAACCTGAAGCCACAGGTCCGCTCCAGCATTGTCTCTGAATTGGAAGCTGTGCGCCTTTAGCGCTTGTCTGGTTGGGCATGAAGTCTTTGCACATCCCCAGCAACGGGCTCTCTGCTCACCATGGCCAAAAGCTCAAAGCGAGCGCATGGCATCTCGGCAATCAAAACCGCTGGGCTAGCACCGATGCCCAGACGTGGAAACTGCAAGCCTTTTTCTGTGGCTGCACTGACGACCAAACGAAGCAAAGCCAAACTCTGTTTTTTGCTGGGGCGGCGCCGACAGCCAAACGAAGAAAACAAAAACAAAAGGCAAGGTTTCCTTTTTTATACAGACGAAAAGGTATCCGTTTTTGGCTGGGGCGGCACTTTGACGCATGCTGCGGGCTTTAAAGTTTAGTGTTCGGGGGTTAAATGAAAGGTTTATGGCGCAGCTGTTGGCGGAAACGCGCCCGCAGAAACGCGACCTGCCAATAGCACAGAACCCTACTCAGCCCCCCTCAGGTGGCACTTTGGCTCATTATCTCTTATTTGGGCTTTTTAAGTCTTGTTATGGCCTTTCAAGTCCCTTTGCAACTTAAATGTTCTTAAGTGTTCTTTATCAAATGTGTGGTGTTTGAAGCCATTTGAGGGCTTTCAACTACTCTTGATCTGCCTCGACGTTGGTCAACGTGTCACGCCTATTTGAAGCCGTTACGGTTGTGGCCCAAATAGCCCTGATACGTGTGGCTGGTTTGCTCGACCCTGCTTCCCCCTCTTAGGTGTGATTGCCTAGCCCGCTCAGGAGCACGGACCAATGGAAGCTGTGGCATGTCCCGTTGATGCGTGCAAAGATGTGCGCCCCATGTTCGGTAAGTCTTTACTACTTGCATGTTTTCAACTGAAGCATGTTGGCTGACAGAATCAACTGAGGCCTTTTTTATGTAACAGACTTGGACATCATCCTCACACTAATTGTTCCAAATGACCATTTCAATTCACAATCCCTATGGAAGATGAATCGCGTTGACTCGAGTGTTTAATGAATGGCTTCTCCCTGAAAGGAGCTTTGATGCACTCAAATGCACTCAAATGCACTCGACTGCACTCAAATGCTCTTAAATATGCTTCAAAAGCCAAAAAGCAAAAAATAAAGCGCCTTAACAAGGCATATCAAAACAAGCAGGGGAGCAATGAACTGTGGCAACGAATCAGCAACTGTTCAAAATGATCACAAATCGTACATTTTCCCGCTGCGAGGTTCATTGCCAACAGTTGAGTTCCAAGTTCTGATAAAGCTCCAGCAGGCACAGACAGCTCCAGCAAACTGTGCGCTTATCCTTGCAGAAGCAAGGAACTCCAGACGTCTCGCAAATTACCTGGTGCAATGTGTTTTAGTTGATCCGGCTGAAGCAGAGCCCTAAAAGAGATATTTAGACACAACGTCTTCAACCCACTCCTTCCTGAGCACTTTCTGAATTGCAGGCTTTTGCTCAAAACCTTCCAGGAGACACCTCGCATGCGCAAACTGGTTCCCTCAAATGTCCTCAAATACATGTTTAAGTGTTTTTTCACCTGAAAGGTGTCACCTGAGGGGGGGGTGAGTAAAGTCCTGTGACAATAGCTGAAAATACAACTCCAAATCAAGCGTGCAACGGGCGCGCTTGCCCGCCCCGCCCCATCCCCCCGTGGACATGAACACGCGACGAGACACGCGAAACTACCGCGCACAGGTGGCTGTATACGCGACCTGCCACTGGCGGAAAACTTGACTCCAAGTCAGTCGTGCCACGTGCGCTCTTTCCCCTCACCCCACCCCCACTCGCACAGGTTGTCGTGTAGCGGAGTTTGTTTGCGCGGGAGCGAAAAACAGGAAAAAACACAATTAACCCCCGTGGCTGACATCGCCGTGAGCACAAGCAACAAACAACCAACAACAACCACCACCACCAACAACAACAACAACCAACGACAACAACCAACAACCGACCAAACAAACAAACAAACAAACAAACAAACAACAAAAAACAAACAAACAAAAAAAAAAACAAACAAGCAAACAAACAAAGAAACAAACACGCAAACACATAAACACACAAACAAACAAACAAACAAACAAACAAGTTTTTCTATATCTTGCTCTTTCTCTCTCGCTCTTTCTGTCACTTCTCTTTCTCGCTTTCTCTCGTTTGTCTCTTTATCTATCTTTCTCCTTCCCTTTCTCTTTCTTTTTCTCTTTCTCTTCTCTTTGTCTTTTTCTTTCCGGCGCGAAATCTGTACTCGGCCTTGCGAGAGTGCTGCGCCTGCCACTAAATCCAAACCGGCCGCAAAACCTGCGCGTTGCCATTACAGTGGGCCGGGCCTCGGGCCTGCGCCGAACCCGCGCCGCACCGGCAGACAGCCGCTAGACAGGTGTCGAGACCGAGGTGACATCGACGCAGACCTGCCAAAACCCGCGGGGGGGTCACTTTTTTTTGCGATCTTTATTCCCATGTTTTCTCGTGTGCGTTCATTATTTCTTCGTCTTTTCTGCGCGCAAACAATTTGCGCACGCCTTCCTTTCCAGCGCACTGTCTGATCTTCTAAGGCCATTGCTAGAGGTATACTTTCGCACGCATTATCTTATCTTCTGTTTCTAGCTATCCCGGCAAGCTATGTTTCAATTTGTTTCCGTGCTACGGAAATTCTGTGTAAACTTTATTGGCGTAGTAGCAGGGGTAGCCGAAGGAAGTTTGCAAGTAATTTGTAGTATGGCCGCTAAAGAAGAAGGTAGTTTTGCGCACAGGTAAGCTGAAGAAAGAATGAATTCCGTTCAAGCTGTTGTTGTTGTTGTTGTTGATGATGATGATGATGATGATGTTGGTGTTGATGTTGATGGTGTTGGTGTTGGTTGCTGTTGCTGTTGTTGTTGCTGTTGCTGTTGTCGTTGTTGTTGTCGTTGTTGTTCTTGTTCGTCACAACGCAGTCTGCAGCACTCCCCGACTCTTTTCCCCGAGGCTCCGAGCGGGTGACTAAATCCATAACCACAGCGACCAGGGCAGGGCAGCAAACACAGCCTGTTGGCTGTGTCAGCTTCCTGCCGGCCCCAATCGTCGGATAGAGGGTATGTACACCCACGGTCCGCATGAGTCCGTGTTAACCATAGTCCAGTCTCGTGAGCCCGCGTTAAATCAAAAACCAGTCCTGCGGTGGTTTTTGAGGAGAACCAGAACCACAACTTACTCCCAAAAGGAAGAACCCAACCCAGCTTCCCTGGGGTGGCTAATCAGAAAAATTTCCTCAGTAGAGCAAGTGCACCGTAGCCGGAGTTCAGGAAGGCAGCTGGCATCCGGGCCAGCATGGAAAGGCCACCGGCTACGGTGGTCATGCCAGCCGGCCCTGGGCATGCGGCCGAACAAAGCAGCCAATAAGTTGCGTCTCTCCTCCTAGCTGCGGTGGTCAAGCGGTCTGGAAGTAGGAGCCAAAAGGGCGTGAAACCATCTACCACCGAGATTCTGCGCTGCGCGTCAAAGCCCTTGAAGTCCAGAGCTGATCCGCCCAAACATTGGAGCACCGTTTAACATGGTGGAGCAAGGCAAAGACAGCCCGCTTGTGTTCCTGCGCCGAAGGTTCGGCAGCATAGGCGTTGCCCTTGTTGTCCGTCCTGAGAAGGATATGGACCTCCATAAGGTGGGTGGCCACCCTGTCTGCAGCAAACATGAACAGTAGGAGCGATCCCAGGCCGCAATGCGCCGAGCTGGACGGGTGTGTTCCAGGAAGGGCGCCAGCCAAGGACCTTCCTTAACGTCGAAAGCAAACCACCACACCTAATCCTCCCACTGTTGCCCTACCTGGTGATTCGCCAGCATCACTACAGCCATTGGAAAAAGCGGGTACCGGAGGTCCTAAAACCATGGACAGAGCCAGCTTGGCCAGGAAACGGTTCTTGAGGTGCTCCTCAATGTTCACACCGTCGCCCTCCCAGGCATGGCCGAACTTGGTCAAGACCAACTGCGGGAGGCATCTCAGTACGCCCGCCGTATCACTGTCGAACAGCTTGACGGTCCGGTTCCACCAGGCGGTAGAGCCCTTCTTTGCGTCATGGGCCTGCGTTACACACATACGCGTGTCCGAAGGTCCAGCTCCGTCAGGGGATCCTGCAAAGGATCGGCATCTTTAGCGTCTTCTTCTTCGAGATGAGGTCCATCAAGGCCGCATTTGGGTCTGCCCGCACCCGCACATCCGCCCCATCCCAATTGGAGCAAAACAGCACCCTCTCCTCCTTCTTCAGGCGTACCATTTCTTGTCCACCTCCGCCGAGAGCGCCAGGCCCGTGGACGACGACGACAACAACAACAACAACAAGAACAACAACAATAACAACAACAGCGACAGCGAGAGCGACAGCGACAGCGACGGCAACGGCAACGGCAACGGCACCAGCACCAGCACCAGCACCACCACCAACAACAACAACAGCAGCAACAACAAAACTACCACCACCACCAACGCAACAGCAACAGCAACAACAACAACAACACCAGCACCGAAACGACCAACAGGAAGAGGAACGGCAAAAACAACAGCGACAACCGCAACAACAACACCGCCGCCACACCACCACCCAACAACAAGAACAACCACAACCACAAGCAGAACAACAACCGCAACGGGAACGAGAACGAGAACAACAGCACCAACGCCAACGCCGACGCCGACGCCGACGCCAACGTAAACGCCAATGGCAACGCAAACGGCAACAACAACAGCAGCACCGACAGCAGCAGCAGCAGCAACAGCAACATCAACAACAGCAGCAGCAACAGCGGAAGCGTGTCTCTTTTTCGTAGGTTCGAAGCGGCTTCATTTCCTAGGATCGGCAAGGCGGTCCTGACTCAGAAAAGCCGCAGAGGGTTCACTTTTCGAAGAAGCTTGGTCGCAAAAAGCTACAAACTCGATCTGTAGAGGGTTCACCCCTCGAAAAGTGTGCTTCCAAAACGCAGCAAGGTTCACTCGTTCGAAGAAGCTAGCGCTGCAAACTCCCCAGGGGGTTCACCTGTTCGAACAAGCTTGTTTCCAAAACCTAGGTGCGGCAAAGTCTGCCGAGGGCTGACTTGCTATAATAAGCCATTGTTAGGGCGGGGGGGCTAGGTTTCTTTAGGGTGGGTTTTTCGTTGGTTTAGGTTGGCAATGTTGGGGTTGGCTTCGGGCGGGCTTAGGGTCGGATTTAAGTGCGTGTGTGATGGGCTTCGGCTTGGCTTTGGGTAGGTCAGGGTAGCTTTAGGCTGGCTTAGGATGTAGCGCCGGTGTAGTATGGGTTTAGGGTTGGTTCAGGTTGGTATAGGGGTTGCTTAGGGCTTGCTAAGCTGATCTTTGGTTGGGGGTTGCACATTCCGGGTTTCGCGTTGGTTTAGGTTGGGTTTAAGGCTGGGGTTTGGTTTAGAGTTGGCTTAGGCATGGTTAAGCTGGTTTAGTGGTGGTTTGGGATGGGTTTAGGGTTGGTTTCGGGTGGGTTTAAGGCCGGTGTAGGGGTTGTTTCGTGGCTGGTTTGGGGTGGGTTTAGAGCTCGTGTTTGTTTAGAGCCGGTTTAGGGTGGTGGGTTTAATGATGGGATTCGGCTTGGGCAGTTTTAGGCTGGCTTGTGGATGGTGGTTCGGGGTTTGCTTGCGTTTTGTTTCGGGTTGACTTTGATGCGCCCTGAGAGGTTGGAAAAGGGTGGGTTTCGGTTTGGCTCAGGGCTTGGTTAGCAGGAATCTCTTGGGTTAAAGGCTACAACAACCGCCAAAAGACACAACAGCTAGTAAAAGCTGCGAAAGCCCAACAACACCCACCCGCTGAGGGACTGACCGACCGCCCAGCTCGCCAAAACTAGACCCGGAGCCCAGCAAGAACACCAACACCACAACCCAAACCACCCACCCATCCACCAACCAAACAAACAAACAACCCAACAAAGAAGCCAAGAAACAAACAACCCGAATAAAAACAAGCAAAACAACAAAGGAACAGAAGCAAGCAAGCAAACAAGCAAGCAAGCAAGCCAGCAAGCGAACAAGCAAGGAAACAAAAACAAAGCACAAAAAGAAGCAAGCAAGCAAATCAAAGCAGAGCAATTCAAAGCAGAGCAATTCAAAGCAAAGCAAGCAAGCGAGCAAGCGAGCAAGCGAGTAGCTGTTTAAGTTCCCCTGTCTCTTGGCAGTACCCCTATCCTCAGTGCCCAGCAGCATCCAAGGGAAAACCTTTCGGAGGGCAGAAAAGGAATATCCTTTCGGTTGTCTTAAAGCCGGCGGACAACTCTGTAAAAAAATGACCCCAGCTCTGTAACTCACCGACCCGCCTGGCGCAGCCGCCTGCGACCCAGCCTAGTTCCCAACACTTACGAGTCGGGCCCCAGTGTCGAGAAGGACGCAGCCGGAATTGCCTCCAGAAACAACAATAAATATCCCTCTGTCTTTGACAAACAACATTTCATATTTGGTCACATTTAAAATGCATCAGCATGGAAATTGATTCCTGCACGGCGTTAATTAGACTGCTCGCAGCGCAGCGTGACTGCCACGAGAACAAACTAGGCCGCGAGCCAATTGGCCGCGAGCCAATTGACCGCAATGGCAGTGTGGCTATCTGCTTCACTCGGCTGTGGAAGAAAAACCCTTACACACGCACGTCAGTCAGCTTGCTCGTTGCGCGGCTGCTGCCTGGAGCATGTGATCTAAACATGCGCAGGCAGGAACACACAAGCTAGCACAGTACCTGAATACATGAGGGGAAGTGTCTGCTTCCACACTGCTTTATACGTAGAACAACACAACCTTCAATATCCTAGAGGAAGAAACACGGCCGTGCAGACGTGCGTCTTGAGAGCACAAAGCGGGCAAACAACAAAAAAGTAAGCTCGCATCAACCACACGGAAAGAACCAGGTCATTCTTCGTCGGAGGGTTCCGTGCCAGCTCAAGAAAGGGACTCTGGTTTTCGTATCAGGTGTCCTTTCTTCTTTGGGAACACTTCTCGGACACCCGCCGACAGAATGAACAGTGTCTAGCATCTTGCAATGGCCTTAGGCATCTCACCCAACCAAACAAAACACGCGCGCACAGACAGCACGCGCACGGGGGAAGCACACGGCGCTGCAAGCAGACATGTGTGCGCTTTGCTGCTCACAAATGTACCTCAAATCGCCGTAGTTTTGGCAGTGTTTTTATGAACTTTTCTTTCCAATGCGTTCTGCCCCCGCACCTCTGCTTCTGCCTGCGCCTCCTCTGCTTGCATCTCGGCCTCTTCCCTGCGTGCGCCGGGAACCGTCAGCAGATGAGCACCTAGCCTGCCTGTCATGATGCACAGAACCCAAGGCGCACAGGTTGTTCGAATGGTGTCAAGGCAAGGGACACCAAGCAAAGCAGGTGTCACGCACAAGTCGCAGGCGGCACGCTCTCTCTGCCAAACTGTACCCCAATAAGACATCAATACTCCAAGACTTTTTCTAGAAAGCCATGTTACATCCTTTTGCGTGAGTGGGACCAGCCGGGGGAAGGATGGCCATATCGTGGTCTTCAACTCGGCTCAAGCTCGAGCCAGTTCGGCGCGACCCTTGTTTGGTCTCATTCTTGTTAACGGCATGGGAGCAACGACGTATCTATTCTGACCGTCATGCCACGCTGACCGGCTGGAAGCGCCTGCTACCTAGAACGCCTGCTTATGTGGCCTTCTAGCTGGGCCTTCTTGCAACGCACCTGGGGCTTTGAGGAGTTCACCCACTTACACCGCACGGTTGGTGTGTGTGTGTGTGTGCTTTGGAGGACACGCCAGTAAACAGACCCACAAACATTTATTTGGGAAGATCGGCTCTGTTTCTCTCTATCTCTCTCTCTCTCTCTCTCTCTCTCTCTCTCTCTCTCTCTCTCTCTCTCTCACCTTTTTTTCAACACGTGGCTGCGCCAGAGCCCCTTCCGAAGATATTTCGCGAACAGAACTTGGGCACTTCCAAAATCTTGGGTACTTCCAGTGCAACAATATGGTCAGGGTGAAAAATGTTCTCCTACAGCCCTCCAGCCGATCCTATTCATCACTTCCCTGCCTGTCGCTCTCTGCGCCTGCCACATGCAAATTGCGAAACATAATCTGTTTGCGTTTAGATTCCGTGGCTGGAGTCATGCGTTCCAACGCTGGGGCTGACTCTTGCGTGGCCCAATGCGCTTCTTCCTTGAAAAAGGTTAGAGGGCACGAAAAAGCAGCACCAGCACGATATACATATATGATTCCGGTCTGCGGTTCGGTAGCCCCCCCCCCCCCATGCCTTCCCCCCCCTGCAGCGGCCTCATTTGGACTCAATTACGAATTGTCTTCAAGGCAGTCATGCAAAAACAATTCCTAATTACAGCGCGCGCGCTTGGATGCCGGGCCCTTGCCCCACAAGCGATGCCTCATGGGCCGCGGCACCAGAAGATCAAAATGAGTACCACTACGCAGCAAGCGCACCGGCCCCCCCTCATAGCTCCACCGTCCCCGATGCCCGGCTCGCTCCAAATCAGCTCGAGGCCGTCCGCCTCCTCCTGGTAGATCTCCACTGTTAGCCCCTGGTAGCGGACGAATGCCCCGATGTTGGCGTAGGTGCCATAGCCAGTCTCCAGCAGCGCTGCCAGCCCACAGCGGGTCATCGGCCATCTTGGATGCCAGCTTCCACACCGTCTCCTTCTTCTCCTCAGCAGTCAAGTGCCGCAGCCACAGTTGCATGTGGGTCATCAGCTGGCAACGAACTGCTTGCGCGCCAGCACTATCATCCACCAGCGCCTGCGGCGCGATGCCTGCCAAGTACTGCGTGGCCATGTGGAAGCACCTGGGCCCACACTCTTTGAAGCCTGCTTTCTGGACCACCTTGGGTGGCGGTGAGGGCACGTGACCGTCATCCGCAGGCAGCTTATGCGGCGTCAGTTTGAGGCTGGCTTCGTGCTTGTACACGCTTGCGCCAGAGCCGACCTCCGTGAGTTCCACAAAGCCTTGCGAGACCGACTGCACCGTGTACTCCCGGACCTTGCCATCCTTGGTCTCGAACTTGCCGTGACCAGTTTTCAAAGTGTACTGCGAGTTCTTGACGATGACCCTGTCCCCAAAAAGCACTGGCGCCTCACAAGCCTGCTTGCGCTTAGAGTCGTAGCGCAAGTTCTTCTGCATGGCCTGGCGCAGGCGCTTGCTGGCCATGGCCTCGCGCACTGGCTCGAGCTTCTCGTGGAAACCGTCCGCGGCCTTCACAAAGAAGTCAGTGTCCAACTTGTCCGCCTGGTCCAAGTAGCCCAGCCATTCGGCATCAGTCATCCCACGCGCTGGGCCGTGAACAAGAGCTTGAAGCTGCAGATTCCTCCACCGGGATTCTGCAGGGCGCAAGACCCCCCACAGTGTTTCTGGCGAAGCGCCAAACCGCGCTTGCGGCATGTGGTTGTAGGCCACAACCGCTGACAGCAGGCGCGCCGCTCGCCGGCATGGGCAGAATCCAGGATGCGGTTGTACACCTCGACCAAGCCATTTGCCTGAGGCCTGCCCGGCGGGATGTGGCGAGGCTGGCCTATGGCTTGCTGAAGGGCGACTTGGATGAAAGAACCGCCGTTGTCAGTCCACACAACTAGGGGCAGCTCGTGCTCAGCAAAGAACCGAAGCATCACTCCTTGGACGGTCGGCAAGTCACCCTGGCCATAGTCCAAGCCCCAAGCCCAGCATTTCTTGCTGCAGAAGTCGACGGCCAACAGCATAAGCCACTTGTTGGCGTTGTGGGGCTTGACTGTCTTGAGGTCAAAGCCAATGACTTCTCCTGCATGCCCTGGCGTGGGCAAATGTCGGGGCTCGGCTCTGCGCAAGTCCCGCGTGGTGTTCGCTCGGCACTCCTCACACCTCTTCACAACCCATTGGGCGTCCAAGGCCACGTTTGTCCAAACCTTGCCCTCTGCGGCCAATGCCTTCACAATGGCATCGCGCCCGCCCATATGGGACAGCTCCTCGTGGGTGCAGTCAGAAGCGCTAGCTTCTGCTTAGAGGGAATGCCGGACTCATCCGCACGCAAACTCTTCTGGGTCCAGTCAGCAGTGCCGCGCAGACCGCGCATGGCCTGGTAGGACTGGAGGTTCTCAGAGGGCAGCGCCAGAAGCGGCGCCTCCAGCAGCCACCGGTGAGCGCCCGCCTTGTCAGCAGCGGGCCAAATGACGTCTGCTGCCTGCGCTATTGGCTGTGGCTTGGCCTTGCTGTTGAGCTGGTTCTTGCGGAAGTCCGTGAATGCTGCCTGTGAAGTCGCGAGGCGCTTTTGGCAGCAGGCCACGCAGCAGTTCCCAGTTGCGAGCGGCAGCTGCCACTGAGTGGTGGAGAAGTCATCCTTGGCTTTCTCCACGTTGCAGTCCTTGCACACCTTGGCCCGCTTGCTCTGCTTGAGACTGGCAGCACGCACGCACAATTTGCACCGGCTCCCGCTCCCCGCAAGCCACTGGCTATCGGAGAAGCTGCCTCGCTCAACTTCCTTGCCACACTCTGCGCAAGCCTTGGATGCTAGCGCGCGACCCCGTAACACCTCGGGCACTGGCTTGCAAGCCAGGCACGTTGGCGTCTTCTTGAGCCACTGCTTGTGGGCAAACAAGTTCCTGGCCTTGTCCACCTGGCACTCAACGCACTTCTTTGACACTTGTTCAGCTCGAGGAAAGTTGGCGTGCAGGGCCATGGAGATCATGCGGTCCACATCTTGAGCAGAAACAGCCCGAGCTTGTCCGAGGACCGCAGAGGGGAGCTCCAAGTCAGCTGACACAGCTTGGCCTGTGGAGCTGGCAGCTGGCAAAGAAGCGCTCCCGTCGGGCCCCGCAGAGGCCGACGCTTGCGCGCTGGAGCTAGCTTGATGGACCGTCAACCTTTCCTTCACACGCTTGCAAGCATTGGTCGCAGTCAGCTGCTCGTAGTAGGCCTGGTTGGGCCGTTGAGCCAGCCACGAGCCGCGCAAGGCCTCCAAGGCCTGGTTCACAGTAGCTGAAGGGTTGGCTTCAAAGAAGGCGCACGCTGTGCGCCAGTCCTCCGTGCTGCGGTCAGGCCCCGCAGCCTTCTGCTTGGCCACGGTTCGAGCAACTTGGCAAACTCCTTTCTGCACGAACAGCTTGGGGTCTGGAACCAACTTCAAGTAAACCCGCTCGTTCATGTCTTGCAAGCAAGAGTGCAGGAGGACCACCAGGTTGCCCTTGCCTGTCTTGATGTTCCTGGACCCGGGCGGCCTGCCGACTTGCCCGGCCTTGGCAGCTGCCATGTCTGCGCCCAAGGCTAGCCCGGGTCACCAGCAGCGCAGACATGGAAGTCAAGTGGCCAGGCAGGGTGAGCCAAGCCTGGTAGTTATCTGGGGGTGTTTCCGTCAGGCGCCGTGGCTGGAGGCTAGTCAAAGTGCCCATGTCACCGCTGTAGCTGTCCGCGTCCAGCAGGAAAAGGTTGCCCAAATTTGGCCTGATGAAGATGTGGACATTCTCCATTTGCAGCCAGGGAGACTCTGGAACACCATGTCCGGACTCGCCTGCGGACGGGAAACCACCGCGTGCTTCTCGTGAGGACCAGCACGTTGAAAGAGGAAGCGTCCGGGAAGGAGCGCAGAAAGGAGAGGGCCGCGGGCAAGCCAGGCGTGCCACCCGGGTCCATGCCAGGGCGCTGGCAAGCCATAACTACGCAGACCGAGCGCGACCGACTGCCTAGTGACTTTGACTTGCTAACATTTCCACACGCTGCCAAGTGTGCTTGGTTATATTGGCTTGATAGTTGTATTGTCGCAGCTTGTTGGTGGCTAAGCTATGACCTCAGAAGCACGAGCAAGCGAGCGAGTCGTCGATCCGGGCAGCAGCCAACACGTGAAGCCCACTGGCCCACCATTAAAGCTCAAGACCTGCCAGCACCCACAGGCCCACAGGGGGGGGGGGGAGGGGGGGGGGGGCCGGCAGGCTGATCATATATATATATATATACACTTATCTATTCGGAGGCCGCGCGCAGAGCAAAACACCTTGCTCAAAAACACACGCGAGTGCCCCCTAGCCTTCAACAATTTCCCAGCCCGCCGTCTGGCCGGCAAATTCCGGCGAGGTTTCGGTGAACCAACGTCAACTGCGAGCCGCTCATCCTCCCACAGTGAGAAGCTGACTTCGGGGGACTTCGGTGAAAGGAGTCTACAACAGTCTGCGCATCATTGATGAGGAAATCTTTGGGGTACCAACACGTTGTTGAACACGTGCGTCGCGCGTTCTATGAAGGCTGGTTTCATTAAGCATGGAGCCTGACAAACTGCCAGGAAGGGACCTCCCAAATCATGGGCTCTTGCCAAGAAACTGAAGAAACGGTAGAGATACACCGTGTCTGATTGGTTGCTACAGGAAGTGGGTAGCCCCACACTCTGAAGCAAAACTCTACGCGTGTTTTAAAGCACGCGTGTGCGCATCCAAGGCGTTGGTCTTCATGAAGATTCATCTGACACATGGGCTCGGGGTTCTGAGGGCTCGGGTTTGACCATGCTACACCGGATTGTTTTTGCGGATAAGCAATTCTGAAAATGCGTGCAGCAACTTGCCACAAGTTAACAACATTGGCTTGACTGAAAGGTTACAACCTTAGGCAAACCACTAAACTACAAATTCCTGTTCGCCGCAATCCATATTCTTCCGGCTGTCAGTAAACTGCTTCTGCTGGTTTTGTGATTGTTTGCGCATGGCCTAACCAGCGCTACTTGTCTGACTTTTTATTATTCGCTTCTACAAGCCCTTACAGAGCCCAAGGGCCCTTTGAACAACTCTCATATGGCATTTGATCAATATTCCTGTTTCCGGAAAACGCCATCTTCGCGAGAAAAAAGTTTCTTTCGCGAACCTTTCCCAACTCCATCGCCGTGGCCTTTTGTTTGCAGCGTGCGCTCTGGAGCCATTTGCTGTTGGTGCTAACACTGGAACCGCAGTTCACTTGCGCTGGCAGGCTTGCAGCGCTAATTGAAAGCAGGCACCGTGGCTCGCCCTTGCCACTCGCGCTTGCAGGGGATGAGGGGGGATGCAAGTCAAGGTGCTGCGCATCTCCCTGTCTACAAGGGAGTGGGGTCTGTAAGCACGCCTCCAAGAACCCAACGCAGAAATTGAAAAAAAACAATATTTCACGAACTCCGCCGATCTTTCGCGGAGGGATTTAAACAAACACCAAAGATCACCGAACACACAACTCCTTGCAAGGACCTTTTGATGAACCACCGTACGCGCCTTCCTCGACCTGCTTGGCTTCCTCAGCCTAGGCGTCTCAACGGATATCCTCTTGCGAAACGAACCTGGTGCCCTCAATGCTTCATCAGGGTCTTGAGGATTCATTGCATCATTGCTACGCATGTCCTGCGCCTAGGCGGTGAAACATAGTTGTCAAGCAGCCAAGAGATCATGGAACGAACGTGAGGAAATGCGGAAACACATTGCGGGAATCAGCTTTACCACGCTGGAACAAGGGTGCGTGGTTCAATGGCGCACTCACTGCCAAAGCCCAGTAGCTGCGGCAATGGATGACCAGTGACATCTTGACGAGCCGCGGTCTTTGCAAACCCACAGTGTTTGGGGACCATAGTCTGAAACGACTTCTTGAAGCTAACCATTTGCACACAACTCAGCAGGCTATGAAGAACTATCGCGCTGTTCGGAAGAGCAAGGGTTCCTTTGGTTAGCTCTCTGCGGGCCGCCTTGCCGCAAAAAAGAGGATTCCCGCCAATACAGAATGCAAGGGTCACTTCTCCAGACTTTCTGAGCGACCACGCTCAAAGTAGTCTTCTCAAAGCCCCTCCCACTGTACATCAGAAAACCTCACGCCTCTGCCTTCAATCAGCTGCTCCCTGTTTTGTTCAAGAGGGGCATTCAAAAAGACCCACTTGTCCCAATATTCACCCCCATATCAAATTCCAAAGCCCCTGGCCCACCATTCTGGCAACGACATTCTTCCTAGACTGGGAACTCCTTCTCGCGGGTTTACGCTTGTTTCCCTTCCAAAGCCAGGCAACACGGTGGAAGGCTTATTTTGCGGAACACCAGTTTTCAACAGCCCCCTAGAGATAGATGGTTAGGTGGTCAACCGCGTGCGCCAAGACGCGTCCAAGGCTGCGCCTGCGGGCAAGTGAAAGGCGAGGCGACGGCCTGACGTGTCCTCTTCTGCACCCGGCTGGCTTCAGTGGAGCCTGGGTTAAATCCCCAAGTTGCATCCCCCCAGCCAAAGTCGCACAAAGTGCAGTGTTGATTCTGCCTACCCAGCGAGCCAGGTGCCTTACTTCCTTGGTCAGGATGAGAAGTTGAATTGGGTACTCTCTTGACAAACTGCCACAGCTATTTTGTTTGTGGCTGTGTATCCTTCCGGCCCAAAAGGCCTGAGTCTGATTTTGAGTGCGACGCAATGAAACAACAATCTTCCGCGTACTGTCTTGCGCTGAACAATGAACATGTGCCTATGAAGCTGTTCTCCAATGTGCCTCTGGGTGTTGGGAGCAATCGAAAGGTACGCCGAATGTAACTAGGCGCATCTCGAAACAAACTTTCGAGCACTAAAGCAGCAGGCAGCACGACCCAGAGATAGCTGGCACCTTCAGCCTGAGTTTGCTCAAGCCCTTTAACATTCAGTCCAAGCACTGACATGGACCCAAAGCAAGGCAAAGGGTGACTCTGAGCTCTTCCCATGCACACTGAAAGTTGTGGCACATCTGCTATGTTCCTTGTAACTCACAAAGTTGAAAAATGGAAGTAATTCAAACAAACCCTCCAAGGTCCTCCAAGTAAGATATGCTTGTCCAAGCTAGAACAGAGCCAAAAACCGTCTCCACCAGAGCAAAGAAAGCTCATGCTAGCACCGAACGCGGCTTTCTGCGAGCCCCATGTAGTCGATAAGATCATTCTGTCAGTTCTGTCAGTTCTGTCAGTTCTGTTTTGGTTTCGAACGTGTTTCGCTGTGAGTGGCGGAGTGAGACCAGAGTCGATGATACAAACGTGGAACGCAGTGGGGACAGCGTAGAATGTAGTTCACTTTTCAGGTTGGGAAGAACCTTGAGTGAATTGCAAAAATTCCCCATCCGCTGCCTCTGACCAGCAAGCTTAGCGAGCTGTCCAGCACTAACCCAAAAAGCAAATCTGGTGGGACGGGTTTGCCCAGCACGCCCAATGATTCTTATGCAAAGCATGTTAGGTCGCAACTGTATGGTGCCCCCGACTTTGGGATTCCGTCATAGTTCTCAAGCGGATCATGCCTTCGTCCGGGACTAGTATTGCTATGAGCTCCTCGTCGATGCCTAGCATTGGCACTGCATGGGGCACATTCTATCAGCTCAACTGCGGTGTTCCATTCCAAAGCCTCCGAGATAAGTCAAATCGCCTGGCAATGCGACGGAAACAACAGCCTTGCGGCGCTGAGTCCGCTCTTGTTTGCTGGGGTCGACAGGTAATGTTCCGCTTCTCAACAGCACGATATTTCGCGCCACCGCTGCAGCAACGTGACAGCGGGGACGGGCTGGCCGCGGGGCGACCGCATAGGCAACGCATGGTTACTTGAGGCTGGCGCGAATGGGGAGCAAGTCCTTTATGGCCCATGGTTGAATCCTCAAAAAGGATGCTCTCCACGCGGCACAGGCCGCTCCTCTGAGATGGTGCTTTTATTTGATAATTGTTGCTGGGCCACGTGCTTGGATGGATGCGAAATCATTATGTTGGTATGTAATGGGCGACTTTGCATCAATCCTGTTAAGGAGCTATGCAAAGGGCTTTATTTGTTGATTTGTTGGTGTATTTTTTATTGTGTTGTCAGTTTGTTGCTTTCACGTGGTTTGGCAGGTCCAGCAGTGCAGAAGGAAAACTGCCTGCTGCCTGTCCACCCGAGAACTTCTTTGCTTGCGAAGAAGGGCAAACTCGTGCGTTGTGCAGATGTTTCGACGTAAACCTCATTTGTGGAGACTCATGACCAGTTGGCTGGTGGCAAAAATCATGAACTGTTTGAGCGATTCCCAACCCGAATCCCGCATCAAACCACTGAAGATAACATTTCTAAATGGCAGCCATCGGTCCAAAGTCAAAAAGCAGGACAAATGGAACCCGGCATGTTTGTCCTCAATCTGTCACTCTTTCAGAATGAACCACAGGGTAGGTCCCGAAGTACTTGCAAACTACAGCAACAACCCCCTGCTGTTTGTGGAAGCTTCAGGAACACAGGATAATGGTTGGTCTTGACACTGAGCTTGTAAAACTCATACCCCAACAGCTCCTGCGATGGACCCACAGCAGGTTTTCGAACGTAGGGCGCTCTTCTAGGTCTTTGCAAGAAAGCAACCAACAAACACAGCACCCTCACAGAAGCCACGATCTAACATGTGTGCAAAAAACACCAGCCTGCGTCTAAAGATTCTTGCGCCGATGAGCCATTGTCATCACCTTGGCACAGCATGAGCGACAGAACCTGAATAAGTATCCGCCGGTAACAAACGGCATGCTCCTTACGCCTCTCCCCTTACCTCTTCTCTGCTTCCAGGAGGGAGGGGAGTGGCCACGCACCATTCCAAGCCTTTTCGTGGATTAAACCTTTTCACACGAGTTCGATTTCCCCTTTGCGTCCTCAGCAGCACCAGCGCAACATCGCCAGCATCACCAGCATCACTGGCTTTTTCTTGATGACATTCTGCCAAATGCACAGGGGGTCAGGGTGCCTTTTCATGTCGAGATGTTCAGCCACTACGATCTTAAAAAGCTTGAAGGTTGCTTTATGCGTTAAAACCTTAATCGCTTTTACAGTCTGAACATCTTACTGGCTTAAACAACCAACATCTTACTGGCGTAAAATCTAAAAACCGTAGCGGCTGAACATCTTAAAATTCTAGTGGCTTAACGTGTTAAGATATCAATTGCCGAAAAATGGCCGACAACCTGAACACCTAAATGGGGTAAACCCTGAACAATCTGAATGGCTTACAATCTTAGCATATTTATTGCTTAACGTGCTGACATACTACTGGATTGAAATCTTAACTTATTCTTGGCTTCACAATTCTTGGCTTCACATCTTCAAATCTTCATGGCTTCAAACATTAGAATATTGATGGAGTAAATATCAACATGTGAGTGGCTTATCGTGTTAACATCGTACTGGCTTAAAGTCTCAACATTTCAATGGCTGAAAACCGTTAAATCTCACAGGCCTCAAACTTAGAACCTTAGTGGCTCAAAGTCTTACTGGCTTAAAATCTAAAAACTGTAGTGGCTGAAACTCTTAAAAACGTTGTGGGGTAACGGGTGAAATCCTGATGGCTTAAAATATTGAAGTAATACTGCCTGAAAACCTCACAATCCCAATTAAAGAAAACATACACAAAATGCACTTATTAGGGTGTGCTGATCTTGCATGTAAGCCTTCCCAAAGGGAAATGTCCACAGGGACAATTCCAAAGGGAAACTTGCAAAGGCAAACTTCCAATGAGAAATTGCCAAAGAGAAAATGCCGCAGGCCGGCCAAAACCTGCAATAAGTTGCGCACCCTGAGCAATGAAACGTGTCGCCGCAACTCTGGCGAAGGTCGCCACCTTGGCAATGGAAAGTTGCAAGGACCAAAGGGAAATTCCAGTGGCACGCTTCCAAAGGAACACTTCCAATAGCATAATTCCAAAAGGGAAAATCAAGTGAAAAACAAGGGCGGGAGCCAAAGCCGCCGCGGCTCAGTGGGCATCTGGGCAACCACGCTTCTGGCGATGGATGCCTCGAACGCAGACGTCAGAAGGGGTACTTCAGCAACGCCCGGGACTGCACGCCTATGAGACTTATAGCCAGTCTGTTGGTTCACTCGAAAGGCACTTCAAATGCAGGGTAGGTCGACAAAGCCAAAGCTCCATCTCACGCCTCACCTCAGCATCTGCGACAAAGTTGGCACTTCGAACATTCCCCGTAGCTTAGGTTTTGACATGTGTGCCATGGGCAAAAATCTGTTTGGCAACAATTCCTTTCAATGGCTCAAAACGAATTGCAAAAAAATCATGGGAGGGTTGATGACCACTATTCACCTCACAGCTTTTTCGAGATGGCACACATGGATGTCCGTCGACTCTGCTCTGAGTTTGGGACTTTCGCTACTTCCGGCGCTGCCGATGCCGGTGCTTCTGCTGGCACCTCCAACTAACTATGGTTGGGGCAAAACACGCTACGCCTTGGCCGCACCTCACCTTAGATACTTCAACATTTATTGACAGTATATCATCATTATCCGGACGTTCCGGGCAGTCATGTCCACAAGTGCAACTGCGCGATTGTTTGCCAACATTGATTTCAATACTCTCCCGCACGTCAACGTGTCTGCTGTGTATGTGTAAAGTATTTTTTATACAGCAGGGGACGCCATGGGGGCTGCGTTTTCAAGATTCCTGGGGGTTGCGATTTTTAACAAACAAAAAACAAAAAACAAACAGGAAAACAGAACAAACAAAAACCTAGCCCATCATCTTCATCTGCTCGTCCAAAACGTGGGGCTTGTGTTTTGTGTTTAGTTTTGGTTGGGGGGGCAAAAAAACCAAAACAAAACAAAACAAAGCAACAAAACGAAAAAACACACTAAGCCCATTATCTTCATCTGCTCGTTCGAGGCCTGGGCTGTTCTTCTTTTGTTTGGTATTGTTTGCTTGGCGGGTGTTATTGTTTTTTGGTGTTGGGTTGTTGTGTGTTTTTGGTTTTAGGGATGGGGAGGCTAAGAATAAAAAACAAAAGAAATAAATAAATCCGCCGACCCCTTCTCCTCAAAGGGGGAGGCGTACGGGAAGGGCGGTTACAAGCCCAAGGCTGGCTGGTAAATGAGCATAACGGAAGATTCAACATCATCATCATCATCATCATCATCGGCGTGGTGGTCGTCGCCGCTGTCCTTATCTCCTTGTGACACGGTCGAAGGCCTAGGTTCCCAGTCCTCTCCACTTCCATCAAAAACTCACTTTCGAACAGGGTCGCTGGCTTTCACACGATTGCACTGCTTAGCTAGATTCCGCGGAGTTGACATGGAGCATGGACTGTGGAGCCCCCTACATGGCCCCAAGTCGGGCCTATTTGGTCGAAAACGTGAAATTATAGAAGATCCTTTGCTTTTAACCCAGGGTGTATTCCTAGAAGGAATTCAGGAATCGCGGAGTTGACATGGAGCATGGACTGTGGAGGCCCCTGCGTGGCCCCTACTTTGTCGAAAACGTGAAACTATAGAAGATCCTTTGCTTTTAGCCCCGGGTGTATTCCCAGAAGGAATTCAGGAATCTGATCTCAGGCACCCTACCATCCCCCGAGCCTTAGTAGGAGGGGAAGTTCTGTTTGCTTGCCCCGAGTCGTGCAGGAGTTGATCAGACTCGCTCCAGAGCACCGGATTAGCTATATTTCACACAAACCCAACAAATTCGGCACTTTCCGCGCCGGCGCTTTTTTTTTTCGCGCGGCCAGCTGTCGGATTGAATGCGATCGGTTTCATCTTTGCCTTTGTCCTGTCATGGAAACGGACAGGAATCTTCCAAAGCCTTTCTCGTGGCCCTCTCACTTTCGAACCATTCGGACTGGGAAGCGAGTCAGAGAAAAAAAAAGGCCGCTGGCTCTCACAAGATGTCACTTGGCTTCGCCAGACCCCGCGGAGTTGACATGGAGCATGGACTGTGGAGGCCCCTGCTTTCCCGTGGTGGTGTGGTGTCTTTCTGCAAAAAAACGCCACTGGCACAAGCACAGGGGCCTTCACAGTCTCACCGTCAATTTGCATGCGGGTTTCAAGGTGTATGAAGTATATGTAATCCACCTCTGAGGGACCCCACAACCCATATCATCATCATCATCATCATCATCACGGTGCTCATGATCATCATCTTCTTTGTCATCGTCCTTATCTTTTTTATAAACGTTTCAAGTGTGCCGTTAGACCCGATTTGAGATGCAGAAGATGCGTGGACATGATTATCAGGATGACTGCTGGTGATGCTGAGGATGCGTCATTACAGTATCATGTCAGTTCATCATCATCATCATCATCATCATCATCATCATCACGGTGCTTATCATCAT